TGCGTACGTTCGCGTGGGGACACAGAACGGCGGGGGAGGGAATTATTGGACATTCTCCTCAACGTCCGCAGCGATCGCTAGCAATTTGTTACTGGGGGGACGGTGAGGCGTTTGCGGTATGGCAGCGTTCAAAAAGTTCACTGTATGCTGCAGTTGGGTCGTCGGATGCAGTGGTTGTCCAACTGCACTCCGACGGCATCGCAATATACAGAAAAAAAACCTGTAGACTTATGGCCATTTCTGGGACGAATTATTGCACCGTTTCTTAGTGGGGTGTTTATTGTGGCAGCTTACTGCGGTGTATCGAAACCCGCAGATGTTCATGAGTATTGCAGGTCATTAATTAATTCTGTCCTAATTTACTTAAGTATTTTAATCAAGGCATCTACAGTGTGTTAGGGGAGGAGTATATGGGATATAATGTGCATAGCGTTATACACCTCCCACTTGATTATATCAATCAAGGCACGTTGGATTTGTTTTCAGCGTTTCCGTTCGAAAGTTACTTAGGTCGCTAAAAGGATCGTGTAAGGAGGGGGTGCCGTCCGCTTCAGTAGATTGCACGCCGCCTTAGTGAAGGCCACTTGAAGCCGTCTGATGTCACTGCATACCTGCCAGTATTAGCTGCAAATTCGAAAGATGCCTATTTCCGCCTTCGCTCAAAAATAATGTGCGTAAGGCAAACTATTTTTAGTGCTTCTTCTTATTATAAGTTGACTGCTTCCTATTTGCAGGAAATATCTGAGGTTTTTAGATATCCCGTGAAGTTATCGGGTCTGCATATTTATAAGGCTAAGGGAGGTGGCTATAGTCGGCGAAATTTCCGGCCTACAAGAGCTTACGCTCTGCTGGAAGGTAAGCATTTCACCCTGCCTTTATTATCCTCCATCCCTAGATATTAAAATGAGTGGTTCGTAATGTAGGAACGCGGGCTATTTATTTACAAAAGCGTGAGGATTATATACAAGGGATACAGTATTCCACTATTCAGTGGCACTGCGAAGTTCAGCAATGCGATCCTCCAGTTTCTGTAGGCGATGGTGTTTCGCAACTGCAGATTTCAACAAGGAGCGGACGGCCTCCTCGAAGTCCGTTGGCCGTGTGGGGTGGGTCTCCGCCCACGTTCCAAAAAAACATCTAGGGGTGGAGGATAATTAAGGCAGAATGAAATGCTTACCTTCCAGCAGAGCGTATGCTCTTGTGGGCCGAAGATTTCGCTGATTGTAGACACCTTTTAGATTGAATTGTGTCAGCAGGCGGCTGTCAAATAGGGGTTGCATGAGCCCCTTGACGAGGTCATGCGCCCTCCACGCTTCCCGCGTACGCAGGAAGGCAAATACTTAGAAGAGCGAAAACTCCTACCGCCTGCTGCCAATAATTTGCGTCTAATAGGTGCTCCTCAAAGACGTCAAAATCCTCCATCGAGGTCATCGGCGAGGCCACCGAGCACTCCGTCCGGGCTGGCGGCATTGATATAGGTGCTGTAGACGAGTCTAGCTGCCGCACATCCCTCTTGGCGATGAGGATTGCCATTTGTGACTTTAGATCTCGTAAGTGACCATGTATCTGGCACATCCAAGTCAGC